AAAAGCATCCTTTCATGTAGCAGAAACATAACAATGCGGAACAGGGACGTCGTGTGAGTTTTGAGAGCGGTAAATCATCGGAATAAAAAGTTTAACAGAAAACCTGTCCAGGACCACTCTGTGATCCCAGTCCCGGGCCGCTTAGCCATCCCAATCCGCCCCTGTACGTGTGGCGACACTCATTCTTCGGTATAGGATGGAAGTATCAGCAAACAGCTAATACACTTTTGGGTTCCAGTGGCACTTAGAGCTGCATGACGACATTGTTCATTGCTTTAAAGATCGGAAAACGGACGACATTGTTCATTGCTTTAAAGATCGGAAAACGGACGACATTGTTCATTGTTATTAAAGATCGGAAAATGCTCGTATTTCCGCACTGGTGAAAAATGAATAGTTAGAGAGAATAATAAAATTACCCTGTAAGCCCACTTTGGATTAAATAATTTAAAAACATTATATCCTAACATATTTGTGTGATATTTTTATATTACTTTTTTATTATCAAAAATGAGTAAAGCTTGAGAAAAGTAAACGACCAATTAAACGAAGTTACAAAGTACGGCAGGTATGTTATGAAACATCCAATAAGATACTGTTAGAAAAACTAATAATTCTCAAGTTTTTTACATTCTTACCATTGTAACCAATTAAAGGAGATTCTCCAACTTTAGGGTTCCAGTGCCACGTTAGCGTTATGGTAGTTTCTGTGATATTAAGAGCAGTTGGCTTGCTAGGTGGTCCAGGAAGAGTTGATGGATCAGGCATCCGATGAAAGATGGCGTTTGGATTTCTAGAAGCTGCATGGAGTAAATGGATAGAATTAATGATACTACACCTTGCATATTTTATCAGCATTTCTTGAGCCTGTACACTCGCGTAAGACTCATTCAATCTCTGAGTCACGTGTGAAAAAAATTGCAGCTGCTCTAGTATTTAATAGCGGATGAGAAAAATAAAATAAACTTAGAGGCAGTGCACTTATTATAAGGTAACATCGTTTTTGTGCAAGTTTTGTGTTGCGGTTTCAAATCGAGTTTTTAATAACTAGGTTCATATCTCTCCTACTCTCTTTTTATAGTATTTCTTTCTTTAACAGTTAATATCCACAAAATTTTAAGTAAATAACTGGTTTAAGATCAATGTATAATTCTACAGTTTGAGATGGGATGACATTTATTTTACCTAGTTAACCTCGTTTGAAATGTACGAAAATGATCAGCATATTTTATTAAAAGGGGTAATTTAACAGTTTGGGAATTCTTGAGACTTGTCAGCTATCTGGGAATTTTTATGTTAGTTACTACATTGATGGGGTATTCATGATCACTTACACTCTACTGACAGATATGCAGTTCTAGATGTTTTCCCGCTTTCACTGGATGCAGTACATGTATATAGTCCAGAATCTGAACTCTGTAAATCTGAGGGAAAACAAAGAATAAATATTGCGTTGTTTAAAAATGACACACTATTACATTTTTATTAGATTAAAAAAACAATTTGATACATATTGAAAAACTTTGTCATATGTGTTAAGCGCATTTAAAACAACTTCAGGTTATGAGCCTTCAGGTTATGAGTCTTTTTCTCATGCAATAAATGTATGGCGCTTGAGCTAATATTATATTTCACCTATCTTTTACACTGTATATGTATCATTACGTTAAAGCGTCAGTCTTCGTCAATCCACAAAGGTTCGAACTTTTCTCAAGAGTAATTCTTCTTCGTCAAATGAAACAAGAAATAGCTCCTTAGACAATAAGTTACATTCCTCTTGTTACCGTATCAACGTATACGATACGTTACTATCGTATTGTGTATTATTTTCTGTACAATGGCGACAAGGATTTACCATTTTTATTTCGGTATCCTATATTAGTCTCTAGATCATGATGAGTGAAATAAGTAAAAAAAACAACAAGAAACTGATGTTTTATAAATACATGTACGATATAAACTAATGATTCTTAGGATGAAAAAGAACTGTTTAAAGTCAAGGAAAGAAACTGTCATACTTATGACGCTGAAAGTGCGAAACGTTATATCGTCGCTCGTATTTTGGACCTTCCGCTCGAAGTCATGCACGCTAACCATTAGGCCAACCCTTGTCTGGGAGAGGTTACTGTGTTTTCTAATTGCTCCTTCTTGACGTAATGGGGGTTTTAGAAATTAACGAGCGTTTCAGAATATTAATTCAACGTTACACTTTACAATTGATGATAAAAATAATTTTTATCTTTATCGTTGTCTTGTTGAAAATAAAGTGCTTTATATATAGAACACAGTTTAGACGTGTGTATTTATTTAACATAAGATAATAGAAGTTAAAGACAACAGGTTCTATATAAAGCAGACAGTACGTATAAGAGACGTCAACATTTTAGACGTGTGTATTTATTTAACATACGATAATAAAAGTTAAAGACAACAATGACGTCTTTTATACGTACTGTCTATCTGCAGTGTTCCGGTGTCCAGAACAACAAATCGTGGGTCATTCTTTGGCAGCGGTGAGGAGTTAAGGAACCATGTCAATTGTGGTGTGGGAGTTCCTGATGCTTCGCATGGTAACATCGCCATCGTGTACTGAGGAAGAGTTTGATTGGTTGGACCGAAAACAATGACAGGTGGCGGGAGATCTGCTACAGCTTCGCAAGAAGAATTTAAGGTAACACATGTTTATTAAATGCATGAATGTCATTAAGTCTTTCACATATAAACATTTTCTCCTAACTATCCAGCACGCACCAAGAAGTAACTACATTTAATTTGTGAACAGTATTATGGCTTCTATTGTAAGTAGTACAGCATGCTCTTCGTAGATACATTAACCATGAATATTTGATAATCAAATTCTGTAGAACCTTAAGTATTCTCCATGGATGACGCCTGTTCTAGCATTAAACTTCTCTAAACTGAGATTTTCTGAATCGATCTTCATATCGAAACATTCAAGCGGTAGCAGTACAACAACCTTCTAGTCTGAGCTATTAGTTAGTATGTATTAAGCTTTATCAGTGAATTCCACTCGTTCTTGCTCATTGTACGGTGTTCCGAAGAGACAATTTGATCTACATAATTGAACGTATCACAAAACGAAATTAACTTGTTGTATTTCTTTCTTTGTACCCAGGTTGTAGGCATTGTATATATTAAATTACGTGTGAAATAAATTGATATGACGTCAATAGCATAGCTGCAAAATTTAGAAATTAATATTTCAATAATGTTAACCTATGATATAAAACGAATTGAAACGAACAGTTCTAATTTTATCTCCTCAGTTTTATGGAAAAAATAAAACTTATATAGTACTGAAAATACAGGCTTTAGCCATTTCAAATCAGCCTGAATCAAGATCAATACATGAAATACTTACGCTAGGGCCCCCCAGTGGCACAGCGGTATGTCTGCGGACTTAAAACGCTGGAAACCGGGTTTTTATACCCGTGGTGGGCAGAGCACAGATAACCCATTGTGTAGCTTTGTGCTTAATTCCAAACAAACAAACTTACGCTAGGCTTGATCGAACATTGATTCACAAATAAGTTGTTTTCTTCTCGGGTCGTAGTTTTCAAATGCTTTACGTTTAAAAGGAATAATTTTGAACAGCATGAAACCAGGTGCTATAATCAAATAAAATAATTAAGTTATTCTATTTTTGTTATTTTCAATACTTTCGGATTAACCAGTTTTTAAAACAAAGGCAATTTAACCTAGCTGACCAAGCACCTAGGATTGGATATGGAATCTATGTACGTAATTCCTGATCACTGCTAAACAGATCACGGTTAACCGTGCTACTTGCACCTGCTAAGAAAGCTATCAGATCACTGATAACTGCGCTACCTGCACCTGTTAACAAAGCTATTAGATCACTGTTAACCGTGCTACCTGCACCTGCTAACAAAGCTATCAGATCACTGTTAACCGTGCTACTTACACCTGCTAACAAAGCTATCAGATCACTGTTAACCGTGCTACTTACACCTGCTAACAAACCTATCCGATCAGTGTTGACTGCGATACCAGACCATTGGCAACTGTGCTACCCACACCTGCTATCTGGATAGATGCTCTAACCAGTTGAAGGATACTTTTGAAAATATCTGTAGAATAACAGAACACACATAAAAATACACTTACATTTATGGAAATTATTTTTTTCTTAAAAAAATACTTATCTTCGTAGAAGTACGTTTTTTGGGTGTATGGATGTCATTGGCTATATATATATTTAAATAGCTTACAAACTATTGATTACATTAATTGTTTATAGGCGATTAAATCAGCACTATAAAACAATAATAAATTAAATATCGCAATACCGTTATCGGTCCTGGTTGTCAGCTTATTGTCATAATAGATAATGTATGTTGTAATGTACCATCTATCAGGCAATATCCAAACGCAGATGTCAATCTAGTCAGCCATCATGGAAATTCTTAAAAAAATAATCATCAATCAAATAAGAGTACGAAGCTGAGTGCTTACACCCATAAAGTCTTAGCATTTGGGTGCTATTACCACAGACATTATCCGTTATGACAATAAGTTGACAACCAGGACCGATAATGGTATTGCGATATATATATATATATACCGAAATAATTCCTTTCTTATTACAAAATGACTTGTAATTTAAATTGAGCTTCACGGATATTTTCAATACACGTTGTTCATATTTATTAAAGAGTTTGAATAGCTTTCAGTAATTTTTCAAATAAGAGCTGATATAATTTTTATGTTATTTTTCAGAATAAGTTTTAACACAAATTTGGTCTCGGAACCAATTAAAATAACAGCATGTTCGTAATACCTGCCACTTCCAAGTAGGTCTTAGTCATGGCTGATTCCAACATAGAAAGGGCAGAACATACATAATATCCCTGGTCGTCTTTAGTAACTCCAGAGATCACCAGGGTACCTTCTTGCGTTACGGAGAATCTTCCATAATTGTTGTCAGGGAACATTAAGACCTGCCATTGTTAGGAAACAACAGGTGTTATGAATCTAAAAAGTTGTGTATAGGGAAGCTGTTATTGAGTATTTCTATACACTCTAGCACTTGTTGGGATATTATTATTATTCACCAAATACTCAATTAGCCCGTATCCTTAATTGGATGCTAGTGAATGTTAAGTTATTCTAATGTAAAGTCAGGCCATAACAATTACAGGTAGCTAAATGAACCACAATTTAGTTAGATTTTTTTAATAATCCAATGCTGAATTAGAAAAAGAATCTCACAACACATCATTGGATTCTGTTTCTAATATTTCTTAAAAGAAATAATTCAGTTACTGAACACAAACCTGATTGCCCTCTTTTGTCCAGAAAATTGATGGCGGAGGATTTCCTGTGGCAACACACTCAAACTGTACGTATCCGTTCAACCCAACTGTATGATTCTTGGGTCTCACTAGAAACGTCGGACGTGCTAAAATTGAAATAAAACTCATCACCAATACATATATAAAACTGCTATACATGATAAATCTGTATATATATATATATCTATACATATATATATGTGTGATTGGTCATTCTATATTTACATGCGTTTCTCTGTGACGAATCTTTAGCGTTATCTTATGGCAGAAAACACAGGTAGTGAATAACGATCATTCGAAACATGATCATTTTCAAAGACGAACGGGGTTATGCTACAGATTTTCTTTAAGAACACTAAAAATGATTTAGTGTTTTCTACAGGCCTACGAACCAAATATCAGAAGTTTCTTCACAAGTATAAGAAAGGATCTGTTTTTAAAAACCATTGAACACGTTTTGCTTTAATAACTCTAAACTAATCTTGGGAACTAAGAACATGATGTTATGATATTGGTGGGATAATAGTGACAGAGGGTTGAATATATTATAAGATTTTGAAAATGCAGATTACCAAGTTACGTGTCTACCACAGCCTGTATAAAGTCAGGGTGGGTCGATATGTATCAGAACTACATTTTACATTGTCTGGCGTTCGTAGGTAGTGTGATGCCACCAAACATTGATCGATTTTGGGAAAGGTATATAAAAGCCCTTTCCGATGGAAAATATACATATACTCGTTTCATAGAGATGAGTTTAGTTCGGAGATTCAGAATTACCAAAACGGGGATATGTCCTGTTCTTAATAGAGTATTAGCTTGGGATATTAGGAAACTCCGGAAAGAACCTGCAGCAAGTCGTACCCAAGCCATAGAAAGCAAAGTGCGGTGCTTGGTAATAGGTGAAGATTGGTAGCAAAAGTCCTTATGTGACTGAAGCAACAGTACACAGCATAACTAAGAAGGATCTCCGTCTGGAAAAAACGGCAGAAATCACGTTTACACCAGTTGTTTTTACGATGTATCCTCAAGCAGCTGGAGAATGAAACAGCTGTTAATGCTGCACAAAAACATATATATGAAGTCGTTGGAAGTAGCACCTATATATTGTATGTGTTAGACTGTTTAAATGGGCACTGGGTAACTGTCGCCCATGTACAATAGATGGATTATGGAAATTAGCATTGAGGCGTAATGTGCTTTGGGTATGACAGTCTTACGACGGAGTCTTTTGCTATAGAAACTACGCTGCAGGCTATTTTAAAAATGCACGATCGTCAGATTGCACGTTGTGACATGAATTATAACGACGTGACGAGGCTCCAAAATCATTTTAATATGAAGTATTTAACCTATGTGAGAATCCACAGTACACAGTTTCCTCTAAGTCCTTAAGAAACATAAGTGTTAATAACTATATCAAATTAAACTAGATGTTTATTTGAAAAAAAATCACATGCAATTCTTCTACATCCCTTGGGTTTGTGGAGAATCTTTGAACTTTTTAGTACAGGTGCCTTGAATTCTTTATTTGACATTCTCAAACAGTCAATGGCGCGTTTCATTCGATAAAGTCAAATACGTTTCGCTACATGAAATAATGTTGTTGTTTTTTTCTTTATTCTCATCTTGCATTTTTATAATCATTTGGAATTTTTGATAAAATGATTCGATTAAAAAAAAGTGTTAATTTTCCCCATTTTTCATGGATTAAAGTAAGTCAGATTGTGTGGTGTTGGAAATGTTTGACTTGCTAAATGGAAAACTCGAAAGTGGGCATTTACAGCTACAAGTTACTGTTGTTGCACAACAGTTAACTTGTGTTAACGATAAGGTGACCAGAAGGAAACTACGATTAGGTTAAACTGAAGTGTGAAGTATGTTTTTTTTTGTTGTAAAAGATTACAATCTCACCATTATCCATTAATGGATTAGTCCCCAAGTGGAATAGTAGTAAGTTTACGGACTTACAGAGCGCAGATAAAGCAACAACTCATTGATTATTCATGGTTTTTTTGTGTCCCCAAGTGGAATAGTAGTAAGTTTACGGACTTACAGAGCGCAGATAAAGCAACAACTCATTGATTATTCATGTTTTTTTGTTTTCTTCTCCCAGACCACCTCAATACCGTAAGGTGTCACTGGAGTAAATTTCTGAAGTTTCTTGGTCTTTACGATTTTAATTAATTAAATACATTTTATGTATTAATTCATTGTAGCTGTAGCTCATTTTGATGACAAATAATATATTCTTGAAAAAGATGATAATTTTTTTATGAAATATCCGTAAAGATGTAAGAGTGTAGTATATAAAACACAATATACTAAAAAAAAAGAAAAACATGATAAAAAATGTGAAAAACAAACTTTCCGAAATTCCCCATCTCATTCTCAGCATCGTTCAAGTTTCACTTAGTAATTGATGTTGTTAATAATATCCACGAGGTAAAGAAGACAAAAATACGAAATACATTAAACAAACACATTTTATCCTAATATGAACATAAGCACAAAAATAAATGACATTACAATGGACTGTCAAGGTTGCTGAGGCTGAGATAGATCCAACAGGATTTTCTGCTTCACACATGTAGGTTCCTTCATCAGTAGGAAAGACATGCTTGATCCGGAGGCTCTTATCTTCTCTCATCTCAGCTCTATGAAAATATAGAACAAACTTGTTCTTTTACTGGCAAAAGTAATAACACGCGCTCGTATATGAATGTTGATATCAGTTAGAAGGGTATCTTGTTTAACAACAATTTATGATATATTTATCATGAACAAAATTTTTTTTTACTTACTTGAAACATGTTTGAGAATACAGAGTTCACCTAATGTATTTAGTAAGTATATATTTGTATTAGATCTTAACAAAACTATGCTTAGAGATGCTATTTAAATATATTTTTTTACACGAAACTCTCGTCAATAAAAATTAGTATATACCTTCCATTTGGCATGTTGCCATCCTTCCGACGCCAAGTAACATTTGGTCGAGGATCGCCACCAACTTTGCATTCAAATTCTACGTTTTTGTCTGTGAGCGTTGAAATGTCCTGGGGCTCTCGAATGAAATACGGTTTTACTAAAAATAAAAAGGAATAAGTTTTCTAGGTGAGACGACTGGAACTTCTTAGTTAACTTTTTCAATTCTTAAATTTTTTCTTAATAATTAGTGCTGTGCATAATGACGTGAGTCTCAGAGTACGAAACATTAATGTATGTTTTGACAAGATTAAATAATGTCGTGTATTTTCTACTTTTTACCCTTTCCACATTTTATCTTAATGTCTGAATGAAAGGAGAGTTATCAATGGTTTCTCAACTCGGCAAACAGAAAGATATTACATAATGTGGAGATCACATATTGGGGAAGTCCAGACATCTGATATATGCAAGTGAAAATAATGCAAATTACTAATTCTAGTTTCCAAAATGTTTTATTATTGTAATGTAATATAAAGCAAACCATTTAAGAGTATCGTTATTTACCGTTTTTATTAGTTAGAAGCTGTAATAAAAATGACATATGGGTAGAAGGGGAATTAGAAAATATATAATTCGGTAACTTTTTTGTCCTTTTAAAAACAAGTGAAATCCGTCTGGAGGAAGAAGGCATGGAAGATTAAATGTGATTGTACGTCCTGGGCAGTGGCTGTCATTGATTAGTCTTACAGCTACGTGTGCTCCCCAGTGGCACAGCGGTATGTCTGCGGACTTACAACGCTAGAATCCGGGTTTCGATACCCGTGGTGGGCAGAGCACAGATAGCTCATTGTGTAGTTTTGTGCTTTATTACAAACAAACAGCTACGTGTATCTTGGTAAACGGGTAAGAAGTGGCTGTCGTTGGTTAATCTTACAACTACGTGTAATTTGGTAAACGGGTAAGAAGTGGCTGTCGTTGATTACTCTTACAGCTACGTGTAATTTGGTAAACGGGTAAGAAGTGTCTGTCATTGATTAATTTTACAGCTACGTGTAATTTGGTAAACGGATAAGAAGTGGCTGTCGTTGATTAGTCTTACAACTACGTGTAATTTGGTAAACGGGTAAGAAGTGTCTGTCATTGATTAATTTTACA